AATTCTAATTAAATTCGTAACTTGTTACTACTAGTAAGGCACTTGTTCCTAGTAGCGAGGCACTTGTTACTAGTAGTAAGGCCAGGAGCCCCTAGTAGTGTCCTTGCTTCTGGTAGCGATGCCCCAAATGGGTCGGAAGAATCGAAGAGCACTTTGTAACTGTGGAGCTGGGAGGATGTTTCTGAATTGGGAGGATGTGCCACTGCACTCGCCATGCTGTAACTTTGGGTTTTGCACTTTGGAGAATCCGAACGTTTTGGATGCGAAACTGTCATTCTGGCCTAGGTGATTTTGGTCGTTTATGCCCACATCTCACGTAGTGGAATGAGAGGTGGTGTTTACGGGAAGATTGCCAATGATGACCGCATCTACAATATGGTGTTGCTTGTCCTGCCTATGGCAAGGCTTTTGGCATGTATACCTCAGCCTTGCAATTTTTCAACTGGGGGCCAACAATTGGTATCGATGCTGGTAGAAAAGGGGTACGTCATTAAAGCCACAACCCAAACTCGTAAGTAGTGGCATCCTTGTTGGATGTAGGTTTTTGCAAGCCTCAGAGGCAAAAGCTTGGATTAAAGTTTGAGAGCTCTAGTTGGGGCGACAAACGGCCACGCCCGAGAACCAAGCTATGACCAGCTGAGGGATCCAAGCCCCTTGGGTGTGCGATGGATTTCATCGGTGAGGCAGTACTGTTTGCCATTGTTGTTTTTTGTCTCTGGAGCAGCGTGTGCCTGCTCCTTCAAGAAGACCCCTGGAAGCTTTGGCAAGATCATTGTCTACACATTCTTGGGCGTTTCACTGAATGCTGCACTGTGGCTGCTGGGGCCACAAAACCCCGACTGTGACCCGGGTACTGCATATGGTCGGGCTGAATGTCAAGGTGCAGTCTTTGATTTCACTATTTGTCCTTTCTCTGGAAAGATTTTCCCGATCGTTTTTCAAATGTGGTATACTGCTATGCTGCTGGTCTTGATGCTGTTGAACTGGCCACTCTTCGCATTCTTGCGGAACAACACCTGCAGTAGTGCTTTGATTTTGCAACTCATCATGACCATTGGTGTCCAGGCTGCTTTGGCGATTGTTGATGAGAGCATCACCAAGCCATGGCTGGTGATTGGCTTGATGGCTTTGACTGAAGTGCTTTTTGTGGCCCTCTCAATCACAGGAAAGAAATTGGGAGGCCGCCCTGAACTCTTGCGATTTCTTCATTACGGCTTGGGTGCTCTAGCAACCCTGCAGTTTGGTTGTATACCCATCGCACCAGAGATCGAGCATATCTCCACTGCCTTTATGCTCTTCATCTTCTGTGGCTTCAATAAATCATTTCAGCTTGGCTTCGTTCTGACCTTGGCAAGGCTTCCGGGCCAGCACGATGTTCTTCCCATTGCTCCTCGGCCCAGTTCTTTTCAGCGAGCCAAGCACCGTCCTAATTCAGCATGACAAAACCTGACAAACATGCATTTTTTTAAAGCCCTGCCGCCCTGCCTCCTTTCTTAATTGAGTAGGCACCTACTTAATTAAGGAAAACGTTCCTAGCTACTCAGACGCAGGATAGCTCACGCTTCTTTGAGGAAGCCCCCCCCGCCTGAGGGCGGGGGGAACTTCCTTCTAGAAGGGCTTGCACTAATGATTTGGTTCCTAGATTTTTAGGGAAACTTAAATCCAATGTTTCTTGGTGAGCGGCAGGTCAGCCTCTACTGGCCAATGATGGCAATTCTGCGGACGCTCACTGCACCCTCCACGAATTGGTATGCTGCAGGGAACTTGACCTACCCCTATTACCCTCGTTTGTTGGACCGCGCCGACTATGTCACTTGATTCCAAACTTATCCAAACTTGGATAGAACATGATTCAGGATGATCGCAGACATAACCCCAACTTCCCTCTTTGAACAGACGTGTGTTCGAAGGTCCATGCAACAACTCCATAATTCTGGAACCCCATCGGCCCCTGCCTTTTTGGATTGGAAGGGAAAGTAGAACAAGACTCCCAAAATACGATTTACACACCTAAGAAGCCGAATTCTATGGACAATCGGATGTGGCCAACTTGCTCAGAACTTATCGGTAGGCCATGCTCAGCCGCTTTTTGCTCGTGTGCTTTAGAACAGAACTTCGGAAGATCAGATTGGATTGTGTAGTGTCGCGAGCATGGTCAAGTGCTCGACGATCTGGTTCAAGGTTTCGAAGAGGCATTTCAACATCGGTTGTTCCCGCTTTGCCCGCTATTGGGGTGGAGGCCATCGCTACTAGGGTGGCACTACTAGATTGGAGACCATCGCTATTTGGTTGGAGGCCATCGCTACTGGGTTGGAGGCCAACGCTATTGAGTTCCTTTTGCTATTGGTTGAAGGCTATTCTTTGCCCACCTCAGGTTGCTGGTGCTGTGGTGGTGATGTTTGTCGTGGACCGGCTTGGGCGCATGATGAATTGCAAACCATTGCCAGCCTTCATGGGCTACGGTGCCTTGTTGCCTCTTCACATGCAGATGGCTCCCCCGATGCTCCAAACCCCAGCTGGGTTTGCTAGTTTTCCTATGTAAAAGTGCTCTTGGTGTTCTGATTGGGGGCAGGAATCAGAAGTCGCCAAGGTTTTGCCAAGGGTGGCGGAAGGGGTTAGACCTGCTCAAAGTGTTTGCCAAACGTACCAACAACATCCAACAACAAGAGATCCAGTCATGGCCCCATGATGTGCTCAATCAGGCTTTACCTGCTCCACCCCTGGATGATGGCGTTGCTGATTGTCGCTGTTCGAGACTTGCCTGAATGGTAAGGACTTCTCTCTGTTGAAGGAATTTTGTAGTAAGTGGAGGCCATCGCTAGTAGGTTGGAGGTCATCGCTTTTATATTGGAGGCCATCGCTAACAGGTTGGAGTCCATCGCTATTAAGGTTCCTTTGGCTACTAAGGCCCCGGACAAAAAGAAAAGAAAGCCGATGGCAGTCAGTGGTGGGGTGGTGGTGGTGGTGGTGCTACTCGATCACAACTCATATCACAACTCAACTCACACAGTCACACAGCTCACTCAACTGCTTTCTGCTGCTCCTAGTAGTAGCTTCTTGCTCCTAGTAGTAAGGCCAGCAGCCCCTAGTAGCGAACATTGTTCCTAGCGATTTGCATGAATTTGCTGTTCCTGCGTTCTGCTGGTCGCCCTTGTGTCATTGGTGGTGTCAATGAGGGTGATTGGAGGTGGTTGGTGGTCGTGGCGGCGGCATCGTCATCATCAAGCAATATCCGCACGACTCACATCATCACATGGAATTTATCCACACATCATATTATGACAGCGTTCATTTTCAGATTTGTCACAGTTATGCTTCAGAGACCATGTTTCTTTGCACATGGTTTCATTTTCTTCCTCCAGCAGTACTTTCGGGCCACCCTGTTTATCATTCAATATTCATTCATCCGCTATCTTTGCTCTCCGCCCACTTTTTGGCTACGCACACACTCGCTTCACTTGTGGGGTTGTCGGTTGTCCGGTTCTTCAATGCCCGTTTTCGTGAGGTGGAACCCGGTTGGAAGATACAGGATCCATTTGGATCATGTGCATTTTGGTTTCTGGGCTTGCTGGCTTTGTTGCCACGTGCCCTTGGAGGACAGTGGCCCTCGCAAAGGGCGGGAATAAGGGAAGCACTCTCCTGTACTGTTCGCTTGTGACATGTGTTGTGCTAGCGACGTGTGAACCTAAACTAGGAAGTCGAAACATGCGCTCGTTTGACAGAACATGTCCAATCAGCCCGCTTGGCGAAAGGAGTTGCGCTGCGCGCTCACCAAAGCAATATGGTACCAGCAGTGATTCTGAAGCCAGTATGGAGGCCAGGATGTCAAGACCTAGATTAGACTTCAAGTCTCGCTCTTCCACCAGTGTAGTCTAAAAATCGGTCCGGTGTTTAAGAGTTGCCATCCTTTTCTTGAAGAATTTGCTTTGGTTGGGTGGCATATTGCTGCATTGCAGACCACAAAACCTCAAATGAAACTTGCCAGGAGGAAGACAGTCATGGAAGTGCGTGAAAGATCACGTGCGTTGAGCCACGACGACATCTTCCACAAATCATCGAACCTCCAACCAATAATTAAAACATCAACAACAATGATTGAATTGCTGAAAAATACAAACTACATGATTAATTATTGGAGGGGGGGATATTACGAAATCTTCTTGAAGGAGAAGGAGGGGGGAGGAAATGATAAACAAGGGTAAAGAATATAGATTCTTTATTATCACGAAAGGTAGCCTGGTAAGGACTACCTTGAGTTTGCTTTGCGAAGCAAAGGGACTGGCTTGAGAGCTTGCTCGGGACTAAAGATTGGTAGATCAATGTCTAACACCCCCACCCCCCCCTGAAAAGTAGAGCCTACCTGTACAGGGTTCCACTCCAACAGCCGATATAGTGTGTCCATACTTGACTGCTTCAAGGCTCAAAGAGCAAGAGGACAAGACTCTGCGCATAAAAGACACTAGCGGTCTGCACCTCTACCGTGTACGCCCTAGTCACTCTTTCAGTGGTAGCGGAGCAGTGATCCTGGAAGACCCAGGTGAGCTCCTTTCCTAGGCATAGACTTGCTAGTGGGCAAACAGCCATGGATTGGATAGACGACTGGGAAGAGCCTGATGCGGATGTGGCTTATGAGCCAGCAGCCTATGTGAATAGGCATGTGAGAAGAGAACCAGCAGCAATAGCAATGACAACACAGGTCACTACAAAGGTGCCCCCATCTTATGATGGAAAGACTTCATGGTTTTCCTATGAGGATGCCATAGACGATTGGTGTGATATCACCGAGCTGGAAGATGAGAAGAGAGGACCAGCATTGAGAAATAGATTAGAAGGAGAAGCAGCTGTATACAAGCGTGTTTTAGACAGAGATGCATTGAAGGCAAATGATCCACCAGGAGCCGGCGTAGAATATTTCAAACGAGTACTACGACCATATTTCGTGAAAGGATCAACCAATGTATTTGTTGAAATTCACCTCATCCCCATGGACCCCGTAGCGTTGACTCTCAAGGTAGAGCAAAAGGTAGCGCTTACCGGACTAGCAGGGTTAGCTAGGTAGTTAGTACTATTAGAGCTGATCCTGTAAAATACAGGTTATCAGCCGTAGGCTAGCTAGATTAGAGCTATGGACCCGATGGATGACGACGTCCCACCAAACTCCTACGGAAGTGGCTTTGACATAGTTCCGAGTGTGCCCAATAGTTTGGATGCAGTTCAACGGCATGAACAAGCGGTTGCACAAGTGGCTGCAATGGATCCAAGGGTTGCTTCGGAGGTGTACCAAGAGATGCTAAATAGTGGTGGTAGTGTTACTCTTCAAGAGGCGACACAAGCTACCCTAGCAGGTATGCCGTCAGCCACCGTAGCTGGTGCGCCAACAGTAAACAACTTGTTGGCAATGACTCGGCTCAACGTCGTCAACCTGAATGCAACGCCAAACGACGAAGAACTACGACGGGAGTTACAACAACATGAGTTTTTGCTCAGCGAACAAGCCAGGAGGGAAGCTGAAATCGAGGCATTGCGCTTCAGGAGTATTTACGAAAGAGAAGCTTCCGAATCTATAGCGGCAACAAAGGCTGCCGCAGAGCAGGCAATGTTGAATGTTCAACAAAGGGCCCAACAGCAGGAACAAAGTGTTCAGCAAATGGTCCAACAGCAAGACAATGTTGCAATCAAACGGTTGCAAGGTACATTGGAGGAGCAAAGGGAACATTTTCAGCAGCGGCTAGCTCAGGCGACAGCAGCTCATGAGAAAGTTGTACAGGAAAAGAATGCCATGGCGGAAGAAGGCAATGCTTTTGTTGACAAAATGAGAACTGAACATCACCAGTATGTTGAGCAACAGGAGGCCAAGCTGAAAGCAGCTCTAGAGGCAAAGGATCAGGCAAGACATTCGTCTGCTGAAGAATCCCGGATCGCCATAGAGCTTGACTTCAAGCGAGAACAACTGGACAGTTCGTTAGCAATTGCACAGGCAAAGATCAAAACTCTTGTCAATGAGATGGAGACAACAAATAAGCAATATAAGGTTGATCGGGAAACGCAAGAGCAAACTATAGTTGAGCTTCGCAAGGACAATGCAATGTTGAAGGGTGAAATGGACGAGCTCAGACGTGTTGTACAGTCCTTGACAGACAGGGAAGAGGAACGCAAGGAAGCGGAGCGCAAGGCGCAATCCTCTAGCCCCGTTAAGCCAGGGCCGCAATATCCTGAGCCACTTACACCTTCTGCTCGACAAGACGCTCACCCAATTGGTCAACCGCGATCTTTTGAACCTCTACGCACGGAAGGCACTGTTCCAGCAACCTTAGACGGTAAGCCTCGTGAGGAAGGCGGATCCCCTATAAAGACGGCTATGGATGCAACAGCGTCCACGCGCAACACTGGATTCCCATCAATGTTCTCAGGGACAGGGGCGCCCGCAACGGAACAGGCAACGGCCTCTACGGACAGGCAACAATTCAAACAACCGGATCCGTGGACGGAGTACATGAAGAAGTCAGCACAATATAACTTCAGTGATGATCCTTTGTACAAAAGCTCCTTTAATCAGGAAGCAACAAAGACTAAGGATGATCGCAAGGACGAAGGGCCGGCTTCTCAGGTAAGAACTCCACAAGACCAAGATTTGGGGGAAATCATCAAGAAGGCCTTGCTAGAAGGGTTTAAGGGCGCTAAGAGCAAAGACTCTGACAAACCCAAGGCAAAGGAGGCTGATAAGATAGATCTTCCCGAATTCCCAAGTCCTGATAGGTACCGCACTTGGAGGGCCGCTGTTCGCGAAGCGATACGGTCCGCGTCCGATGACCCAGACGCTGCGTTCGCATGGGTGCTTGAGGTGTACGCTGTTCGTGAAGACAAAGCCAAGCTTTGTTCCGAATTGGCTGACCCAGGCAAGTTTCGGACCTTAGACACGAAACTACTTGCTGCTTTAACTAAGGTTGCCAAAGGTGAACTGTCTCAGCAGATCCTTAATTATAAGGAATCTGAGGCACAGCAAGGTAGGATCGTCCGTGGTCGTCAGGTGTTGCTCATGTTTGAAGTCCACTTCAAGACCAGTGAAGAAGCGGGTGCACTGTATGGCACTGAGGACCTCCTCAAGATCTCGCTTGATAGCGACGACTTGAAATCCTTTCTAAGAAAATGGGAGAGTGTTCTGACCGGAATGAGTCATGTCCCAGACCCGGCAACTCTCAAGGATTTGTTTTATAGAGAGGTTAGGAAGTCCCGCAAGCTCAGATTTGACCTTGATGTTTATGAACGAGCGCCGGAGGGAAGTAACGACAGAAGCTATGAATTTCTTATCAATTCTGTTCGACGTTACCTTGACAGGGAAAGGCTCAGGACCAATCGCGAAAAGATATCACAATCACACGCGGCAAAGTTCGCAAACCCGGCACCGCACGACAAGCGCACGCGAAGCCCAAGTTATGGCAAACGAAGCACAAAGGGTGACGGAAGCAATCAATGCTATGAGTATGCCAAAACTGGTAAGTGTAAGTACGGGAGCAAATGCAAGTACTCACACGACTCTAGCGCCCGTCCCCGCTCCCTTAGTCGGGAGTCGTCTCGTTCGCGTAGCGCAAGTCCGAGCAGCCGTTCATCGTTCAGGTCAAGCCGATCTCGAAGTTCGTCAAGACACACTTCCCGCTCCAGTTCAAGGAACTCATCAAGAAGCTCCAGTAGAGGGAGGAAATCTGACAAGCCATGCAGGTTCTTTGCAAAGGGTAACTGCAAAAGGGGTGACAAATGCCCGTTTAAACACGGAGACACTGCAACACCAGCCCCGCGCAGAAGGAGTCCCTCGCCCGCAGCTAAAAGGTCTAAGGACAAGAAATCCAAGAAGGACAAAAAGGACAAAAAGAGCAAACGGGAAAAGAAGGACAAAAGTCCAAAGGCCAGTCCATGTATTCAAACAGGTTTCGCAATGTCTTGCTTAGCAGCAACCGCAACTCGGACCCAAAAGAGTAAAGACTACTGGGAATTCTCCAAAGATGGCAATGAGTTGATTAGGCACCATTTGAAGCCTAGGCACAGGTCGTTTCTCCCAACACGTAAATCCTGTCCAGTTGAGTCATCTAGGTTGGAAGACCAGTTTACCATGGTAGTCACTGACTCAAAGGGAAAGAGTAGGACAATCAAGGGTAATTGGAAGAAACACCCAAACGCGAAACAGAAATTTGATTGGACTGGAAAGTCAATTTTCCGTGTTGTGCAAGAGAAGAGAATTCGTTTTGAATTAGAACCGGAGGTACACACCTTTCCTGTTTGGAAGGAAATGTACCGGCATGTAGTGAATAAGAGCAAGAAGCGGAACCTGTTCCGGACCACTGAGGAATGCCCAAAGTCCCGCGAGTGTGACACTAAGGACGCCATTTTGGCAGCGGAGTCACTTAGGCAGATGCTCGTTTCGATGTATACCGAGGAGCCTGCGTGTGATTTCCTTTGTGAACATTCCCCAGAAGGCCCCGATGATTTGTGCTGCACGAAGTGCAGAACAGTCGTCGGAGAACAGGTGCCGTCATGTGCTCGCTTAACAGCGATGCCAAACATGGTTGGTATGGAGAAGTGGCTGGGTGACACTGGCACTGACCAGGACATCGTAGGTAAGGACTCTAAGACAGTCAACAGGGCCACCAAGATATTCAAATCCAACGAACCAATCTCCCTTACTACTGCCAATGGACCTATCACTGCTGACGAAGTAGTAGAGGTGATCTTGCCAGGGTTATGTGAATCCTTCAACCCCTACATTCTCCAAAGTACTCCCTCTGCACTTTCAATTGGTTTGAGGTGCTTAGAACAGGGATATGATTTTGTTTGGGGAAAGGACACTACTCCCATATTTCTTCGACCTGATGGACAATGCGTTAAATTCAAATTGCAAGGTAGGGTTCCATATATTGATGAAACATGTACCCCATTCTCAATTCCTGAAGCACTGAGGACTCGCCTTACTAAGGTACTCGATTCCATCCACCAGTTCACCATCGACCAGGGCTACGCCAT